TCGAGTCTCGGGCCGCAGCCGTGGTGGTTTCCGCTACCCATTGAGTATCTACCCTGGTGACAAAACTACTCTTGGTTTCTACAACGGGACTGTGAGAGAGTTTTCAAACTGGGCCTTTTTCGAGGCTTCCTTTGTTGGCGTCAAGGACGGTGAATCCTTCTACGAGAAGTTCTGCACCGGCAGAGATAATGAATCAGGTGTTAATCGAATGGGTGGCCCCGACGAATATTTTAATCCAGGTGATAGGAAACTCCCCCGAGTGATTGGCAGCCCTATCTCGAATCCACAACCACCACCCCGTTTGACCGCCCGCGAACTTCCTCCGTATGTTAAGCCAGACGTGAATTCCACAGACGGCATCGTTGAAGGCTACTTCCTGAAGAGCTGGTTCCCCCGTACTGCTGTCCTTGTTGTCAAAGCGTTCCTGGCCAAGGGTAACACCACTGAGATGGAGCTCAGCTATACGATTGCCAACTTCCTGGACCAGTGCAAAAAAAGGAAGATGAGGAAACTTATCATTGATGTCAGCGGAAACGGAGGTGGTCTGGTCTTCCTCGGCTATGACCTCTTCAAGCAGGTAAGCGTCAAGCACCCTTGGAGTCAGAAGCGTATTATCATATAGCATATGTTAACAATCGTATCTAGCTCGTTCCAAATGGAAAGATATTGACCCCTTCCAACATGCGTGCCACTCAGCAATTAGACGCCATTGGCTCCAGAACCAACGAGCTCCTTAATAAACCCCTTGACCCCAGGGCTGCCGAAGCAGAAAACATGAGATACTCTGTCTTCGATCTTAATACCTACCTCACTGCCAATGACACCAAATTCTCATCCTGGATCGAACTCTACGGACCAGAGACGCTGCCACAAGATAACTATACCCATCCCACCAAATGGGACTTCAGCAACATTGAAATGACTTTGGCCAGCGGCCCTTTTATAGTTTCTGGCTATGGAAATCGTACTGAAATCCCTCCATCTCCTTTTTCAATGAGGGATATAGTCATCGTCACCGATGGTTCTTGTGCATCTACCTGCTCCATCTTTACTGACCTTATGAGACGTCATGGCTCGAAGTTTATTGCCGTTGGTGGTCGGCCTCAACGTGGCCCAATGCAGGCTGTGGGGGGTGTCAAGGGTGCCCAGGTCCTCACATTCAGATACCTCTATTACGTTGTGTGGTTTCTCTACGAGAAGCTATCTACACCCGAAGAGCAGGCTTTACTGGAAAAGACTCGAGTTGGCGAGATGTACCAGAAGGGGTTATTTACTTTGGGCCGACTGGGATCAAGGGGAAGGAACTCTGCTGTCAACTTTCGCAATGCCATCTGGAACGAAGATAAGGCCCGTACCCCTCGACAATTTGTGTACGAGCCTGCTGAATGTAAAACGTTCTTTACCCCGGACGCTCTCTATGACCCCTTAGCTTGGTGGACACGTCTTGCCAAATCCTGGTGGGGATTAAAGGACATATGTGTCTAGGGCTTTCTGGTATAAATATATGGTTTTCATGTGTTGATAACATAATGTTGATATGCGGTGTGATACAAGTGATTCTCGACATGGTACACGCCCCGCCATATACACAAATGGAATATTTCCAATTGTATATCATTTCAACAATTTATTATTATTCCATATTAAAATATCTTTGTCCAATGATGATTTTGTATTTGTAGGTCCAAGTAGATATTACAACTAATAGTCTACAATGCACCGACCAGACATCTTCACATCTTCACCTCGTAAAATTTCTCTCCATCTAGACCAAAACTAGAATAACCAGATATCTCCTCTCCATTTCCTTCAAATCCACCTCTCAAATCATCAGTCTTTCAACCTTCTGTCTGATGTTGAGGATCTGCGCCTGCAGATCACTCGCCTCGTTAGTAGTGATGCTGGCACTGATCACAGAACGGCTGACACCGCACGCGCGACCCAACGCAACCTTGCTAGGCACATACACGTAAGGGGTGTTCTTGTCCTCGCACAAAAGCGGGAGATGCAACAAGATGGCCAGAGGACTGGTGTCAGCGGCGAGGATAACCAGCTCCGAAGTTCCACGGTTAAGAGTTTTGGTTGCTGCGGGTGGAATACGTTAGTTATGGAGATAAAGAATGGCAAGCGTTTTTTGCATTGTGTGCGTACCTTCGTTAGCACCCTTCTTGAGCTGGCGGTAGTGAGAGGCCTGCTGGACGAGGTCGAGGAGTTCAGTAGTCAAAGCTTCATCTGCGATGGGCCAGGCTATATGTACGGTATCAGTTAGCGATTCAAGTTTCTTCGCTGAGAGAAGACGCAGAGCTTGAGCTGCTTGTGACTGCTTACCCGCTGATTGTTCATTCGCCATTTTGAACTTGTTCCCGTGTTTAAATGTCCGTGTTAAAAAAGGGATGCGTCGCAATCAGTTTTCTCAAGGCCCGGAGTCCTGTTTCTTCACATGTAGCGGCTCGTAAGCGCTACTTGTCGTGGTGCTTTCGGTGCGCGAGGTAAGCTTGCTTGGTGTAGCTTGTGGTTGACGTCGAAAAAAATTGGAAGTTGTGCCTTTTCTGGGATTTTTTCTTTTTTACTTTTTTTAGCCTCGAGAT